CATAAATCTTATACATGTCAAAATAAGGGACTATCATGGACAATCTTTCCTGATAAATTCAACATCTTGGATGACATGGATAAACTCCTGAAATATACAAGTAAACATAATTTACTCAAGAAACAAAAGTGAAAAAGGCTGGTACTGATTTCTAAATTAAATTTGCAATTGAAAACCTTCTCACCAAAAACAAACAAATCTCATTGTCCAAGTGCCCTCACTGGTGGATTCTACCAAATATGTGAGGAAGGCAATGCCAACACTATGTGAATTCTTCCAGGAAATCAAAGGAGTACTTCCCAACTCATTCTATAAGGCCAGCATTAATCTGATACTAAAATCAGACAAAGACAATACAAAAAAAATTTGATAAATAGTCCTCATGAATATAAATGCAAAAATCCTCAATAAAATTTTAGCAAATCAAATACCACATCATAAACCATGAGCAGGCCAGATTTATTTCACAAATGCAAATTTGGTTTAACATTCAGTAATTAATCAATATAACTCATCATACAAACAAACTAAAACATATATATGACCATGTCAACTGACATAGAAAAAGTATTTGACAAAAACAATTTTCATTCCTAATAGAAACTTTCAACAACCAAAAACAGAAGGGAACTTCCTCAATCATATAAATGGCATGTACAAAAAAAAAAAAAAACCACTATACCAACCATCTTACTTAACAGTGACAAGCTTTCCCCTCTAAGATCAGGAACAGGACAAAGATAGCCACTCTCATTGCTTCTATTCAACATAGTACTACAGGTGCTAGGCAGTTCAAATGAAAGAAATAACAGCTGTTTTTATTTACAAAACAAGATGAGCATTTACATAGAAAATCCAATGGAATATACCAAAAAAAAAAACCTTCTAAAATTAATCGGTGACTTGAGTAAGGCTTCAGAATATAAGATAAATCTAAAACAAATAACAGTCTACTAGTAATAAGTGACTGAAAATTGAAATTTTTAAATCAATACCACTTAAAATAAGCATCAGAAAATATGAAATATTTAGAGATAAAATAATAAAAGATATGTAACACTTGTTCACTGAAAAATGAAAACACTTGAAAAAAATTAAAGAATACCTAAATAAATGAGTGCATCCATATTGGTTGGTGGGGAGGAAGATGGACCAGCATGATGTACCTAGCACAAGTGACCTAGTGAGGTAAGGAGGATGCCTGTATAAAAGCAACCTGCTGTGGAGTATCAGAGCCCAACAGGGATGAGGAGGGCATTCAGGCAGGACAGAAGCATGCCACAGGGCATTAAAGCCACAGGGGAGTATGGATGATACCATCTGGGGCAGCACTTGGTGTGTGGTTTTGGCGTTCCAGCAGGGTGAACAGTTGCAGTGACAGCAATAAGGTAATTAGTTTCACAAGGGGAACTGATCAAATAAATAAATATACTAAAAATAGTGAGAGCCAGCTTACTCAATAGTAATGAGCACACCAAGCACATAGACCTTGGCTTCTAAATAATATTCTTTACCCTCCAAAAAGCATGGTTTCTTAGAAAAATAGCTGATTCCAGGGCTGCAGCAGACAAAGTATAAGACGAACCTGAAAAATATCTCCTTCTGCTAGTAAGAAAGTACTCAAAGAATTAAAGGGACACTTTAAAAGGACACAAAAACTAGATTAAAGGACTCCACTGGTGTCATTCAGGATAATTTGAGCAACAAAATAAATAAAACTAAGAAATTATGACCCATCAAGTAAAGTTAAAAAAACATGAGTCCATACTGACATAAAAATAAACTGAAAGTCTGATGAAAATTTAGGAATTTACGTAACAATACCTCCCTACAAAATTTTCCATTACAAAGGGGAAAAAAAGAGTAACTTTACAATGGAAGACTTTACAGACTTGGCAGACACCATCTTAATAAAGTAATCAAAGTGGACATTATCAATGATAGGACAAATCAAATTTATCTGCCACCTCATAGAATGCTGTAAGAACACAGGACCACTGTTGTTATATCCCAGCCAAAAACATATAACATGAATCTAATCATGAGGAAATACTGACAACCCCAAATTGAGATGCATTCTACATAATAAATGGCCTGTAATTTTCAAAAGTGACTGGGTCATTAAAGGCAAGGAAAGACTGAGGGTAGTTCCAGATTGAAGAAGACTCAAGAGATAAGAGCACCAAACGCAATTCACAATTCAAACTGGATTCTTTTGCCATAAAGAACATGATTGAGACAACTGGCAAAATTTGATTCAGGTAGAAGGATTAGATGCTACTAATCTATCAGTATCAATTTCTATCCTCTGTTGTATGTGGCTGAATAGGAGAGTATCTTTATTGGTAGAAAATCATACTAAAGTATTTGGGGATGATAGAGCATCAGGTTAGCAACTTACTTTCCACTGGCTCAAGAAAAAGACAAAAGTTATTAATACTGAGCTTCAGAATATTTACAAATAAAATTTTAAAGACCATAAACTAAATTTGAATGCAACAAAATTTACAGTTACTATACACTAACTGCACAAAGTTAATGTATAAGCCATGCATTAAAGAAAATATTTGGAGGATATAATAGGAAAACGTATCCAAAATATATGACTTCTTATAAATGGGGGTAAAAAAAAAAAGATGACCTAAGAGAAAAAAGGGAAAAATACAGGGTGGCATAAAAGTAGGTTTATAGTTGTTATAGTAGGTTTATATATGAAAAATAATACAGTAATTATTAATAATAATATAAGAATAAATTCTATGTCTCATGTACTCACACTGGTAACCTACTTTTGTTCCACCTTGTATATGAAAGAAACTCCAAATGTCAAAAAAACAATTTCACTAGTAACCAAAGAAATGCAATTCTGGAACAGTTATCATGTCACAATCATCAGATCTGCAAAAACTAAAAACTTTGATAACAGATACTAACAATGTTACTAAGAGGTGGAGTAATAGGATGTCCCACAAATGCTGGTGGAAGTCTAAAACCAGTAAATCACTTTGGAGAGCAATATCTAGTTAAAATCAAAGGCATTTATACCCTTTCTTTGATCCAACTGACCTTCTAGGTATACCAGTAAATTCTAGACCAGCAGAATTGGCACATAGGACAATGATGCCTCAGTCCCCTTCAAAGCAGGCACCTTGGGACCTCACACAGTTCTCCCAGCCGCCATCAGCTGCCCCATCATATTTTTCTGAATCTCATTGATGGTCTGAAATCTCTTCCCTTTCAAAGGTGACTTTAGTTTTTGGAAAAAGGCAGAAGTCATAGGGCACCAAATCTGGGCTGTCAGGGGGCTGAGTCACCTGGGTGATTTGATGTTTCCCTGAAAAACTGCACAAGATGTGATGCCTAAGCAAGAGGGTAGTCGTGATAAAGCACCAGTTGTCCACAACTGCAGCCTTCTGAAATCACCAAATATCTATACAGATTTGTTGTTTCATCCATTCAGTCATTTTGAATGTGACAGCACACACACATGCTCATGCAACAGCATCTACTGCCCCCACGGACTAGGACAGTGAAGTGGTTGTTGTTCACGCCTGTACATTCCAGTCCACTTTCCTTGGCTGCCAGGTTACATCAACATACAAACCATTCTCATTATATGAACAATGGTTGGACTTCTTCTGGACTACCTCACACACATATATACATGTATATATATACACACACATACATATATACATACCCATATACATATATGAGAAACAAAACAGGAAAAGTTATTATTTGTTAATTTAGAGAAATCACACAAGTGTTCTTTAATTTTCTATAATTTTAGAACTTTACAAAAAGATTGTCAGGAAAATCATACTAATCTCACATCTCATATTTTTCTACCTATGTTACTTTATGTGAACACGTCCTCTTGGAGAGAAGGAAGCCTGAGAAACAATCCTAAGAAATTAAAAACTTTTAATGCCTCATGCTCTACCTTTAACATTCTTGAGAATGTAGAATTTTTATTCATAACATTTCTATTCTTATTTCAATATTAAATGCATTTTAATTGCATATTTTCCCTTCAAAACCTAGGTAAAATTAACATTTCTAGAAGATGTATCCTATTTATCCTGCAGCTTCACATCCTCCCGCATCGCACTACATGGTACCCCAAGGCCCAAGGCAGAGAGGGCGGGGATGCTTACTCTAGTTTGAAAAGAAAAACTGAAAAGTCACTATAGAGTTTTCTCTGGAATAAATAAGAAAATACAACAACACACAAGAGAGATATCCTCTAAACTTAACCTTGACCTTGCCCCTTGTGATGGTTAATTTTATGTGTCAAAGTGACTAGACCACAGTATTGAATATTTTTGGTCAAATATTATTCCATATACTTCCATGAAGGTGTTTATAGATGAGATGACTAACATTTAAATCGACAGACTGTTAGTAAAGAAGATTCTTCTCCATAATATAGGTGGGCTTCATTCATTTGAAGACCTTAATAGAAAAAAGACTGCCTTTCCCCGAGGAAGGGGGAATTTTGCCAGCAGACTGCCTTCAGACTCAGGCTACAATCAATATTTACTCTTCCCTGATACTCTAGCCTATCAGCCCGCCCCGCAGATTCTAGACTTAGACCTTCCAACCTCCACAGTCATGTAAACCAACTCCTTAAAGTGGCACCCCCCCCTACTTACACACACACACACACACACACACACACTTTATTGGTTCCATTCAATGGAGAATCCCTGCACCAGAACCAGTAACTATTTGTTCTGCTATAGTACTAAGCCAAAGCCTGTTTCTCAAACCAATTACCACTAAAACAGTTATATGCTTTTCCCTCGACAAAATACATCAGCATACCACTAGTATATGTAAGTATCAGGATAAATCGATAGATATACAAAAGGCTAGAAAAGATGTCACATGAACTTAACTATTTTCAAAAGGTTATGATAAATATATACCTTAAAGGTATTTTAAATCACACAAATTTTAAATAACAACAATTATTCATTTAAAAAAAAACTTACCTTTTAGTTTTCATCTGGTCCCTTAGTTTGCTATACATCTCCAGGACTTGAAAGACATGGGGGGAAAAAGCACACAAGCATTATTTAGAGAAGTGAAAGACTAATTAAAGCTAAAGGAATTGCATCAAGAATCCTAATCCATTTCCAGTTTCTCACCTGGAAGACACAGCATTAATTTATCAACAGTGGCAGAAATATTTCTCTGTTGTAGTCGACACTGCTTCAGCTCTTCCATTGCTATTACCAGCTTGGCAAGAGGGGAAAAAACTGAATTATGCCAATAGCTGTAAATAAAAAGCTTTCAGTCACATTTTTCAACCCTGTGTTCAGTTCATCAGACAATCCCAGTTTCACAGTAAGACCTGCCAAGTGGGCTAAGGAACTGCCTTTCTCAATCAGTGAAACACCACTGCATGGCTTCCTACTTTCTCCTCAACATATGTGCTCTATATGAGGAAAGGCTAGGTAAAACAAAACCCTAAAATTCAGAGGCTATCCAGGGGAAAACAAAATTTTCAGATTTCCTCCAAACCCTATTCAGATTCTTCATGATCTGTGGTTTTGTCACTCTTCTGAGAAGATCCTGTTTTTCTTTTATCAGTGCTGAGTACTAGAGGAAAATAATCCTTCTCATACAGTTTCAAGTGAGTCTTGAAAATAATTACAAATAAATCTCTATTTCTATAAGTAAACCACACTTAGAATTGTGATTTTCCAAAAATTCCATTTGAGTGAAGAATAAATCACTTTTCTTCCCATATCTGTTTTAAAGGCTTTGGTCTGATGTCATACCACAATAAAACTAGAAGAAACCGCACTCTCTGCATAATTTAAAATATGTGACAAACTTTCAAAAAGCAATACTGTATATACATAGCCTCTTGTAGCATTCCCACATCCATATCTAAAAATATTATCCGCTTAGATACCATTTGAAAAAAAACAAAAGATAATGACCCAGATTAAGTCACTGATAAAACAACCAGGAGCTAATCTTAAAGATTATTCAAGTTGAACAATAAGTACTAGGCAATAAGAAAGGCACGTGATTCACAGAGGAGAAATAGACTAGTACAAGTCAGGAAACTTCAGTTTTAGTCTCAGCCTTCCCATTTACTATGTAAACTTCAGCAAATCCTCTGTTTTAGTTTTCGCATCAATGAAATAGTGATAATACATGTTCTGACTTTGTCATAAGTCTGCCATGAGGATCGAGTGAGAAAATGGATATAAAATAAATTTGTAAACTTGATAATTTAAATGATGAGTATATCAATTGATAGCATCAGTGATTCATTTTTTAACAAGTGTTTACAGAGCACCCACTTCGTTCCAGTCACTGTTCAGAAAGGTAGAGGGGATACAGCAATAAACACAACAAACAAAAATTCCCAACCTCATGGAACTTAATTGCTAATGGAAGGAGACAGACAATAAACAAATATATAAGTAAAAAAATATACTATCAGAGTATGATAGATGCAATGGAAAAAAATAAAGCCAGAAAAGTAAAACAAACAAACAAAAAAGAACCCAGGAGGTTGAGAGTGAAACTGTAATTTCAATTAAAGTAGTTAGAAAATGCCTCAGTAAGGAGCTAACAATCAAAACAGAAAGATCTGAAGTGGGTAAACACTAGGAAAAGGGCATTCCAGGAACAGGGAGCAGCAAGTCCTTATGATGACTACCCACGTGTCTTAAAAATACAGGTAGGGAAGGCTACATCCTCTCTCATTATGCTTTCTAGTGGCTATATTAATTTAATTCAGATACATGGTAGGAGAAGCAACAATAATATCCAAATTCCTCCAATACACTGCTTATCGTCTTACGAGTCACTAAGTCAAAAACACAGCCATCAAAAGAGAATGACAGAAAACAGAAAAGGTTTTTTCAAAAGGTAAACTGGCCTTACTTCCTTTCCCTCATGCTGTAGTTTTCTATTAGTATCCGTCACTTGATTCTGTGGAGAGAAGACAATTTAAACTCATAAAAACAAACATTTAGACAACTTTGCATACAATAAAAATTTACAACAAAAACAATGAGTATATGCTTTCAGATAGTTTCAGTATTCCACCACATTTTGGTTTAGTCACTCTTGCATTTAAATTATATGAACTTTTCCACTAAATGCTGCATGGGCTTTCAACAATGAAAAGAAAAATTTACTAAGAGGTATGCTCTGTTTAGAATATTCCAAATGATACTGTAACAACTAAAGATCATACTTCATTTTTTAAAAAAGAAAAAGAAAAAATAACCCACAAAGAATCTTACCATCTCTACTATGTTCAGAAAGAACAAATTTTATCATAGATATTCCTCACTTCACTAATGTATTCCTGGAAAACCTGGGCATAAATAGAACTTTCTAACCCAAGTCAAATTTACCCTATTTATTATTCCAATTTTGGAAAATATTTTATCTTAATTCTTTTTGGATCATTAATTCTTAACAGCCCCTACTGCTTCCATATTCCCATTTTTCTAATTTTTTTCTTTTTTCCTTAAGAATTTTATTTATTTATCTTTAGAGAGGAAGGGAGAGAGAAAGAAAGGGAGAGAAACATCAATGTGTGATTGCATCTCACATGTCCCCAACTAGAGACCTGGCCCACAACCCAGGCATGTGCCAAATTGATCTGGCAACCCTTTGGTTCACAGGCCAGCCCTCAATCCACTGAGCCACACCAGCCAGGGCTAAGTGTTTTTCTAAGTTAATCTCTACATCAGATAGTCAAAACTATGTAAATAGTCTTAAAATTATCTGGAGTTCATAATTTAAAGGAACTGGTACCACTTTTTGGGGTATTTACTTTTGAAGACTCAAGTGATACACAAGAAAAAGTATATAGAAAAGTTATTTCCTCACCATTATCAAAATGTTGACCAGTTAGACATTATCAAAAGATGACCAATATTAACTTCTAAAGACTTTCTACCCTTCTACCAGTAGCTGCCACTCCTTACACTTTTAAGGCATTCCCTTAACCTGGGAATCTCCTACTACGTCCCTTAGGACACCAGGAAGCGTCAGTTAACAGGCAGTCTCTGCATGCACACAGAGGTGGACACGTGCACAAGCACACCCGGTATGCATGGGAAACACTACCGAACGGATGAGCTTACTAAGGACTTCTTTACATCTTTCATATTCCACGTGCACTGTGAATGTCCAAAAAGGTGGTCCCATAGGGTCTTCTCCAAAGTCATTTAACATAAGATCCTTTTACTGAGGGTCATATCAAGAAACTAGGGGGTTTTCTGCCCTGCCCACATGGCTCAGTGAGTTGGAGTGCCATCTCATACACCAAAAGGTTGCAGGTTTGATCCCCAGTCAGGGCATTCTCTATCTCCCTCTCTCTCTCTAAAAATCAATAAAAACATATCCTTAGGCAAGGATTTAAAAAAAGAAAGAAAGAAGGAAAGTAGTTTTTCAGGGACACACTTTTGAAAACCTTGCCCTACCTATACCTGGACTTTCAGAGCAGACTACCACATGTACCCCCTTTCAAAGACAAAATGAAATCCAACCTCCTCAGAAAGTCTTTAAAAGTATCAAAAACAGAAGCTAAGAAACCCCCAAATTCCCTCTTAATTATTTATTTAATAGCACCATATGTGAAACACTTAGTTTTATGGGACTGTGAGCTCAACATGTGATGTAGCCATCCAAATGTTCCAAGACTACATTAACGGTGTTGTCTAAAACAGGGCTCAACAAATTGTTTTTGTAAAGGGCCAAGTAGATAGTCTGTTGCAACTACTCAACTCCAGGATTATAGCAAGAATGCAGCCAAAAATGTAACATACATGAATGGACATTGCTGTATTCCAATAACTTTAATTACAAAAATAGGAGGCAAGCCGGATTTGGACTGCAAGACATAGTTTGCTGATCTTTGGTCTAGAGTAAGAGAGATGGTAAGGCTTTAAGAGCCCTGACCAGTGTGGCTCAGTTGGTTGGAGTCTCGTCCCATAAACCAAAAAGTCATGGGTTCGATTCCCAGTTAAAGCACATACTAGATTCAGGTTTAGTCCCCAGTCAGGACAAGCAGGAGAGGCAACCAATCAATGTTTCTCTCTTACATCATTGTTCCTCTTCCTCTGTATCTCCCTCCCATTCCCTCTCTCTAAAATCAATAAGCATGAGGGGGTGTTGGGGGAGTGGAGACAACTGTACTTGAACAATAAAAATAAATAAAAAAAATAAAATCAATAAGCATGTCCTCAAGTGAGGATTAACAAATTTTTGGCTGAAAAACATCCTACTATGAGAATTACATTCAGATACCATGCTTAGGAAACCCACTGGCACACTAAAGAATGATTAGAGTGAATATGTATGAAGAGGGGGTCAAATCTAACCACATGAAAAACAGAGAAATGAATTTTCAGCAGGAATGTTACCAGCACCCAGGGTTCTTGCAATCTCCAGAACAGACATGAAAAGAGATCACCAGAGACCAATACAGCGCCTGGTCATGGGCTGGAATGGATTGGCTGGAATCAAACCCAAATCTACCACATGTCAGGGAATAATTCCACCACTGAACCAACCTGGGGTCTTGGAAACTCCTAAGATAGAAATCAAGAGGGTTCACCACAAAAAGAGGGCTCATTATATATAGCTTGAGCACCCAGGGAGACAATATTTAAAGGGAAAAAGAGAAATGTTGCTCCAAAAAGAGAAATTCTGCTCCAAAAGCAGAATAGTTTTAAAGAAGCTTAGGTGAGAAAGAGGACATCTGAGAATGCAGAGCCAGAGACCCTTTGGCACTTTCACAGTATACCTATTGAATACATGATCCTTCATGCATCACATGTCTCATTAACACATTACATCTCCACCCAGTTTTGTTTGTTTGTTTGTTTAACTATTATACTGAGAGTAAGGTCTCACAGCAATCAATTGTTCTGGAGCTTAACTGCACATGTGTTAGGGTCAAGAAAACCTCTGCAGGAGAAAGCAGTACCTGGCACTATTAGGTACAGGGTTTGAGGGGCAACTGATGGAAATTCCAATCTTATCTAGGAGAGACTCAGCCTATCTCACAAAGAGGGAAAATATTCTTGTGAAGGCGCTATACACTAATCCTGAGCACTACACACTAACAAGGGCGTCCAACCTTTTGGTGTCTTTGGGCCACACTGGAAGGAGAGTTTTCTTTGGCCACACATTAAATATATTGCCCAAAATCTCATCATGTTTTAAGTAAATTTATGATTTTGTGTTGGGCACATTCACAGCCATCCTGACCCGCCGGCAGCCTGCGGGCCGCAGGTTGGACCCCCTGCACCCTCCGGGAACAGCAGCTGTCCTGCAAACATTTGAACAGCTATCAGAGGAAAGGTGGTGCCCTAAAACTAGTACTAAGTACTCAAACCAATAAATGATGTTACCAGAAAACAGAATCAACAATTCAGTATAAGAAAAAGCTTCCAAGCAATGAGAATAAAAACGGGGTAAGTTGCCTTGAGTAGTAGTATTTCCCCTTCAGAGAAGTTCTTCAAGAATAATGTGATTATTTTTTATCCTAAACTGGACATCTCCTAAAATTCATCCTTCCATAAATATTATTAAATTTAGCATCATTGTCTTTGCTAGAATATCTTGTTTAGCATGTAAAGACAACATCTCTGAAACATTTTTTATCTCAAACTCATTGTAAGAAATGAGAAACATTTTATACTGCACTAAAAACTGAAAAAGAAATTTCAAGAAATAATGTTTACCTCTGCTACATGTGATATATTTTATTATTTTCTACTCTACTTATTCTATTTCATTTCAATTCTCATTAAGAATATTGACTGTGGTTCACTAATTGATTTCATGCAAACCAGATTCTCAAACATAACCACAGGACCCTAATAATGCATCTGGTAAGAAATTACTATTTCAATACTATTTTAATATAACAATTAAAAGAAACTTGGGGAAAACTGGGTGGAGGGAGCAAAGGGAGGGAAATTGGAAGAACTGTAATAGCATAATCAAAAAAATATAATCTAAAAAAAATTTTAAACAAACAATACCTGACTACTTAGTCAGGTATTTTCCTTTAGATTATCAAATTTTAAAAAATGACATCAGCCAATACAAAAAAAAAAAAGAAAAAGAAGAGGAGGAGAAGAAGGAGAAACAACTACACTGCCCTTCTAGGATGCTACTTCTCTTGACTCAGAATCACATAACATACACACAAACACACACATGCTGTGAATCTAAAGAAAGAGTAGGCATCCTAGAGAGTTTACTTTCATGGTTATGTTAAAATAGTACTGAACAGTTAATGCTTAACCTTTTCCATTTTCTAAACTCTAGTGTTCAAGAACCCCTAAATTTCACAGATTATTAACCCTGGTTGAACGGATCCCCGTAGAGCAGGGCCTCCACAGTCTGCTGCTAGATTTCAATCCCCTCGATTCTCAGAGTGAGTGGAGCCTAAGCAGCCAAAACCCTTGAAGTGCTAGCCCCCTTTGCATCCCTTGCATCCTGAGTAATTTAAAGGAATTTGCAACTTGACGAAGATAAGATAAGACGGAGTACCAAGCAGCAGGTGATATCTGTAATTGGTGAGCATTACAGGCCATATGCAGTGCTACCTGCCCACACACGACTATATCAGCAACTGGAGACAGAACATCCTGGTGCCCATCGTGGATGAGGGGCACAGGGAGCAGAGGGAGAAGTTTCAAATAAAGGTGTTCAAGGGCATAGAAAAGAGCAGCCCAACGTGAAGGTGGGAAGCTGGGATGGCTGAGTAAGAACAAACAGCACACGCAGCTCTAGGCAGGACTCCACATCCTTTTTCCAAACATTCGAAATTCTGTTGTCTATCTGAGGCTGCTCAGCCTCCAAAACTTCAGATAACTTTTTGTTTGAAATAGGATCAAACTGTTCATGTTTTTTGTCTGCTTTATACATAAGTAAAGATGTCTAACACTTTCCCCTATCAGACACTGTTATACAAAATACAGGAGTTTGTTTTTCTTTTAAATGAATGTACCATGACTTATTTTACTATTCCTCTACCAAATGACTTTTAGGGACATTTTAATGTTTTACGTATTAAAAAACATTATATGAACACCCTTGTACATGTTCCTGTATTGCCTTAGAATAAATCTTAAAATTATGTGCAGTGTTAAGTATTGGAAAATAAAATTGCTCTTCTCAAAGGTTGTAATAGTGTACACTCCACTCAGGCATTCCTGGTTGGTTGGTACATCTCCAATCTTCAATATTATTTTTTCATCTTTGTCATTTTAATAGGTGACACCTTATATTTCCAATAAGCATTCCTTAATTATTTCTAACTTGCAGAGCTCCCTTGTATTTCCTTTGTACACTGCATATAATGTGTATTTCTCAGTTTTCTATGAGTGTTCTATTAATTTGTAAAGACTTTTTATATGGTAAGAATATCAATTGTCATATATATTTATAAATATTTTTGTTACCTTTTAATTTGTAAGTTGTATGTAGAAGTTTCACTCATTTTAATGTTCTCATACCTATCAATTTTTTCTTTCTGCCGTAAGAACTGTGTTTTAGAAAAGTCTTCTGCACTCCCAAAATCACAAAGTATCCATCTATATTTTCTACTAGTTACTTCATTTTATTTTTTACATTTAACTCTTTAGTTCATCTGAAATTAATTCCGATACATTGAATGAGAAAGGTATTTAATTTAATTTCAATTAGTTAGGCATTAAAGAATATGAACAACAAATCAGAAGAGTTCTTATTTGTGGAGGGGGGGATGGAGGAAGCAACTGAGAAGAGTACACAAGAGAGCTATGAGTGAATTTAATTGGCAATGTGGTAATATTGCATTTCTTAAGATAGTTGGAGGGTTGTTATACAGGTCCCTAAAGTCTTACTTGAAACCTTGGGACCCACTGTGTTCTGGACTTCAGAATTTTACAGATTTTATAAAGATAATATGGTACATGTTTTATATCATACAATCAGTGGGTACTACGATAGAATCCCATAATCACATTACTATTTCTACAGCAAAGTACAAAAATTTATATTAAATAAAATATATTAAGAAGTTTGATATCTTCATATCCATTCAGGTCAGATTTTTTTAGTCGAATCAGCTTTTAAACTATTGTAGCTTTAAAATATAATTTAACATCTAATAGCCCGATTCTTCCCTTGATAAAATTGTTTCTTTGCTTTTCCTACCAATGTGTTCTTTTATGTGAATTTTACACTCACTGTCAAGGAATATCCTTTGGGGACTTTAATTCAAATTCAAATAAAAAAACAAAGAGAGGAAAGAAAGAAATTAGAAGTATAAGAACTGGAAGGAATGAATTAAAGCTATTATTATTTGCAGATTATAGAAGTAAGTTTACATAGAAAATTTAAAAAAAATCTACATACAAATTTTTAGAAATAATAGAAGAATGTAATGAAGTGATTAGATTTAAAATCAATAAGCAAAGTCAGTTATCCGCGATAAGTGAATTTGCTAAGCCAGGGGCCAGACTAATATGGCTCGCCTCCTTCCTGAACTTGAATCTGTCATATCAAGAGAATCCTTCACAATTTGGTAGAAGACATGCCACAACTGTCAGTGATTTTTCCTCCTTTGGTTGCCATGCTGCAGACCTCAGAGCCAGGCCCCGCAATAACACCGCTCTACAGAGATGACCTTTATCGAGCAAGGAAGTACATGGATGTCGTGAAGACTCAACGAGTTTCTGTTTGAAAGAAACTATTGTCCATTCTGTTACTGGTTCTCATCCACGTGTAGTTATCCCAAATACATTTCATTTAAGAGTTTTCTCTTTAGCTAAAAGCCATAATCCCAATTATATATATTTCAGTTCAAATTCCTTTCTCTACTATACAAAAATCTTATTTGTAGTACATATGTAACCTGCAATATACTCCCTAGTCCTTTAATGCTAGTCAAAAAAAAGCCCAGCACAGGACAGAGAAACAAGCCTCTCTTCTAAGAGTGTCCTTACTTTGAGTTTCTGAGCTTCTCCTCTCACTTTCAGCAGTTCAGTTATAGAGTCCACAAAGCCCTGGTAGTGAAAGTTGCACATTTTCTCAATTTCTCGATCATGATTGCGGATGCGAGTTTCAAGTTTCTCCATGAATCGTCCGTGTTCCTCACCATCATAGACAGACCTTTAAAAAAATGGCATAGAGATTACACCAAATTTACTTCAAAGAAATTTTTAAAAAGCTGTAAACTCAGAAGCAAATTTATGTAGAAATTAGATATTAATGTACATAAACCACAGAATAATCCAACTGCATCATATTGCCCCAATGACAGATGAGTTATGTTTTAGGAAAACCCAAAATTTTGATTCCTATTCATTCAAAAATATATTCAAGAAGTGTTTGACAGTATTTATAAAGAATTTTCATCATAAAATGAACTGAATTTATAGGCCTTTTGTATTTTTCTTTCTCAATTAAATTAATCTAGAAAAACTCAATTTTGGATAAACACAACTTGAAATACTCCATGACTATACCCAAGAAGCTGACACTGCTGGGAAAAAATCGCTAGTGGGATTTTTAGTGGCAGCTAGTCTCAGGTAGGCTATGTACCTACAAATGTAAATTGGGCACTCAGTAAATACCACTAGGTAATACTACTAAATCTACCTCCCCACCACCACCACCACTACCAAAAAAATTACTTTGTATTCTCCAAAATAACTATGTGTAAAAACCTCACTTTCTCCTCTCCTCAAATGTTCACCCCCTCACTCTCAGCTGCAGATCACAGAAAAAAGCATTTCCTCTTCTCTCACTATAATCCACCAACCTACCTGCATTTATTACTCCTACTCTGTCCACCTTCCTCTAATGGAAAAATATTTCAAGCTCTTAACTACAGTCAATCCTTGTCTCAAGAACTTTATTCCTGCACTTATTAATCCTTTTTATCCCTCCCCTGCATCATATATTTCTGCCATCATTCTTATGCATACATAAACATGACTTTAAGACACCAGTCCTTATATATGCACTTCCCTCCAGGTACCATCTTATTTCTCTGCTGCCACTTTCCAGCAAAACTCCTTTCCACTTCCTCCCCTCTTGATACTTAGCATTCATCTTACTTCACCTAATAGCAGCACTTGCTAGTATTTAACACACTTTCCTTCTTGTCTTTTTCCTCTAGACTTCAATGATGCACACTAATGCAGTTTTTACCCTTTCACTGACATGCCTTCTCAATATCCTTTACAAGTGCCTTATCTTCTATTATTTTTCTAAATATTCTTAAAACCTCTTCTCCTCTCTATCTATGCTCTATCACCAAACAATGCCATCTAATCCCATGACTTTAAAGTACCCCCATAAAGTAATGACTTCCTCCTATACATCTACAACTCAGAGTACCTCCCTGAGTATTAGACTCAAATATTTAGCCTATTTGAGTCTATTTAAAAACTCCAATTGGATTTTTGAAAGTCACTTCAAATTTAACACAGAAAAAGCCAATCATCGATCACCAAATTATCTCCACTCCCAAAACTGTTCCCTCCCCAAAACCCCCCTCCAACACCCGCACTAACCCATCACAGCTAATGGCACTATTCTGTTGCCCAAGTCAAAAGTAAAAGTCTAGGAATCACACCTAATCCACCTCTTTCCATAATGCATCCTACACCCCATTCCAATCCCAGTAAAGTCCTGACAACTCAAAATCCAAAACATATCTTAAAACTGACCACACCCCACCATGTCCACTAAAACCCTAGTGCATGTCTGCATCGTTACCACACTGGACCCATGCAACAGCCTCCTAAAGTCTCCTTTCTCCACTCCTCATTTCCCCCATCCCTACCCCAGTGCACACACTCTACACACAGCAGTTAAAATTATCTTTTTAAAGCAACAAACATTCAGATGTTCTTCCCCTGCTTAAATCTCTCCTGTGACTTCTCTTTAAAATGAATGATTGAATGAATGAATGAATGAATAAGTGTGTGTGTGTCTTAAATCCTTACCGTGGCCTACAAGAATCTACACAGTCTCTCTTCTCCTTAGTTCCCAACCCTAGCCTCCCTCCACCTGCTATGCTCCAGCTACAATGGATTTTTTTAAGCCTTTTCCTGCCTCAAACATTTTGTTTTTGCTGTTTTATGCTAGTAATGCTTGTCCCTTGTATCTTCAAACAACATTCTCCTTCTCATCACCCAAGGTTTATGGTCTGTCTTCCCCCAACCCAACCCTGTTAGACTAAAACACCCAGGGCAAGAACTTTGTCTGCCATAATCACCCCTATACCTCTAAAAGAGTGCCAGACAGGTAGCAGGCAGTGGGTAAACATCTGTTGACTAAATGATTCACTAACATTATCACTAAGACTCTTTAATCTCTGACATTTGCTCAACAAATACACATTTGCTCATTACCAATATTTTCTGGCTGTAATCATCTGTGAGTACTGAAGCACTGCTCTGATCCTGTGGCCCAGAAAGCACACTCTCCTGAGCAGGTCAGTTCCACTGTCCAAAACTCAGCAGTAACCACAAACAATACATCCAAGGTCTATCCAGAAAAAGTCCAATCATTGTTAATATAACAAGAATGGTTTGCATAACATCAACATAACCTGGCAGCCAAGGAAAGTGGACTTGAATGTGCATGCATGAATGATGATGACTTCACTATACTAGTCCGGGGGGGGGGGGTGGGCAGTAGACTCCGTGTGTGAGCATGTGTACTGTGTGGCTGTGGCATTCAAAATGACTGAGTCAACCAATGAATCTGCACCAAATTTTGAGTTAAGCTTAAATATTCCCTTGAGGAAACTATTCAGATGATACAGAAGGCTTTAGCTATGGGCAAATGGTGATTGGCAGCTTCATCACAACGTGCCCACTCATGCATCACATCTTGTGCAATTTCTTGGCAAAACATCAAATCACCCGGTGACTCAGCCCCCCGCCCCTACAGCCCAGATTTGGCACCCTGTGACTTCTGGCATTTCCCAGAACTAAAATCACGTTTGAAAGGGAAAAGATTTCAGACCATCCATGACAGGGCAGCTGATGGTGACGGAGAATTGTGTGAGGTCCCAAGGTACCTACTCTGAAGGGGACTGAGGTGTCATTGTCCTGTATACAATGTATCTTCTTCAATAACTGTCTCTATTTTTCATATTACATGGTTGGATATCTTCTACACAGACCTTGCATACTAATTTAGTTTCCAGTAAAAATTCCAAACACTTTAGAAAAGCCAAAGCAATCTAGATTCATCCTCCTTCCTTTGAAACAAAGGGAAGAGACCTTCAAATAAATCATGAATCATCCCTGCTTTGACAATTAAGACACACTACAGAATAACCACTTGCCTGAAGGAACTATTTGGAATACACAAGCCAATACACTACCACTGACTTCAGCTAACCTCAAATAAGCACAACATCTCCCCTTAAAAAAAAAAAAAGGCACAGAAAGCTTTCCAAGAAAAGACACCAATATTCTTTGCCATGTGAAGATGAGGAATAACCACTGAAAACTTATCAATCTAAATGGCATACGCACACATTATTCAATATAAGATAACTCTTGGTTTCAAATTCAGTTATATCTTAAACCAGTAATACTTCTAAGTAACAAGTCTACTTCCTTTTACTATGTAAAACTTATCATTTTTTTCCTTCCAAAGGTATATATTAATATCACAAAAGACAACATCAGGAAGAAAGTCCTAAAGTTAAGGGATTTATAATATGTCCCTGGCTGGTGTGGCTCAGTGGATTGAGCATTGGCCTGAGAACCAAAGGGTCGCCAATTTGATTCCCAGACAGGGCACATGCCTGGGTTGTGAGCCAGGTCCCCAGTACAGGGCTCATGAGAGGCAACCATACGTTGACGTTTCTCTCCCTTTCTTTCTCCCTTCCTTCCTCTCTAAAATAAATAAATAAAATATTTTTAAAAAGAAATGTATAATATGTTAATAATGACTCCCCAGCTCCCTGAACTTCCTATAAATATATATATATCAACGAAAGAAAACATGGATTTTAGCTATCTGGTGGTGTGCCCTGGTTTTAGCAATATAATTGAGTCTTCAGCCAACTCAGTTAATCTCTCTGACCCTCAGCTTTCTCATTTAGAAAATAGGAAGCAATCAATTACATATTCTCTGAAGTATCAGCCTAGCACTAAATTTCTACAATTCACTTCCACTTTCAAGTTCAGTCAATAATAATGTAAAGATCATACATTTTCAGAATAGACTAAGCAGGTAGTTTAAAACAAGCTAATAAATTCTCTATACCCTTATCACTAGCCTCTGCCGCTTTCTCCTAGCTTAGGGGCTTCGTGATTCTAATAGTGTCTTTAATTATAATAATATTGAACAACATGAAAAGTTTACAATCTCTGAGCACCTTGAGAATTTTTAAAAGTTAGAATAAAATATAATGCACACATATTTAAGACAGGAATATGGGACTATGTTTAATAAACTTATATTCTGTGAGTATGCATCAGGAAATACATGATTTTCATATTTTATGTAAATTTTGTGTGCATATACAGAAGTACATATATATAATTTTTAAGAAAAAACTGACCCAGAGTTTCTATCTGGTTATCAAAGATGTCAAAAACCACTGATTTAAGGGTTTTGCTTCTAGTGTCCTACCATAAGAAAAGGCAATTATTGATCACTACCTAACAGTTCGCCTTGAATCAGCACTTCAAGTACATACTCAGCTTTACTCCATGCAAACCAACACTTCTATCAGAAATAAATAAATAAACAAAAAAGCAAACAAACAAACAAGCCTTAAATGCTGGAAAGGTCATAGACCTACTGAAGTTTATTTAACCTAATTTGGTAGTCAACACTGGACTTGAACAGAGTAGCTTCTTCACCACCCCTCAACTCCACCCCCAACAAATGACTTAAACTAGAGAAAGACTGCCATCTAGTGATGGCCTATTTCTAACATTCCTTGAAATTTAAACTTGATGTGACCAAATCAGAGGGACTGCTCAAAAACTGAAACACTAGCTCTGACTACAATGGCTCAGTTGTTGGTTGGACATTGTCCTGCAAAGCAAAAGGTCATGGGTTCGATTCTTGGTCAGGGCACATGCCTAGGTTGCAGTTTTGGACCCCGATCAGGGTACAAAAGGTAACCA